CTGATTCTGATTCTCACAATAACCATAACTGTCTTGCTATTATGAGCACCATGATTACCATTACTGTTCTTTCCAGTGGCATTGTTGGTGTTGTCATTATCATTATCATTATTTCATTCTTATGATGATTGTTATTATAATAATAATAAACAATAACAATAATAATTATCTTCTAAATTCTACTATCTATGTTATTACTATTATCATCGTCTATGATTATCATGAGAATTGGTCCTGCCCAAATGACAGATAAAGAGGATATTTTTGCCCCGGAGAGACCTGAACAGACCAGCACATCCGACCATCAGAACACGGAACAGGAGAACACCCTTACCACAGAGAACAGAGAACAGCAGAACACCTCTGTCACTGAGAACGGAGAACAGGAGAAAACCTTTACCATTGAGAACGGAGAACAGAATACCTTTACCACTGAGAACAGAGAGCAGAACACCTTTACCACTGAGAACAAAGAACAGAACACCTCTGCCACGAAGAACACAGAACAGCAACGCAAATCTGGCATCACCGTCACCGCTTCGAGTGTGGAGGAAGAGGATGAAGGTATCTGTTACTTTATGATTTTTTTCTTAATGTTGAGTTTCTGGAATTAAAGGCTATGGTTTTGTATTTATTTATTCTTTATATAACGAGAGATGGACTAAGGTGAAGAAGCCTTCAGTATATCTTGAGCATTCATTGAATAGGATAGCTTGAAGGAACGAAGATGTTGATAAGAATATATTAACATAGGAAATGTAAACAGATGCAGTGTGTGTATACATTGCAAGATTAAATGTAATTTCAATTGTGCTTTTTTGCAAGAAGCACTTCAGGGCTGTCGACTGACTTGTTCAATCAGCATCACAGCCGGAAAAATGAAGCAACGGAATATTCTTTCCATGTCGTGATGAAAATGCAAAAATCCTTTCACATATTAAAAAAAAAAGAAAACAAAATTACAAAAAGTAAGATAACATGAGAAAAAAAAAGAACATCCCTGAAGAAAGGAGTGAATTCGCTAACCCATCCATTTCCCAGCTCCGCCAGGCAACCAGTGTTGGTGGTGGCTCCTTCTGATTCCCGCGTGCATCATCCTTGTCTACCTGCACACCAGACGCCGCCAATCCTCTCGGTATTCCGTGAGAAATGCGCAGGCAAGCGAGGCTGCGGAGACCAAGGACGACAGAACGCCAGAAACGGAGAAGACGAATGGTGGTGATCCGTACGCCGAAGAAAAAGCCGGATGAGAACGGCGGGAATCTCAGAGTGTTAAATGGCCGAGGTGTGCGGGGGTGCGGATAGTGGATATCGGCTCGAGGGTGCGAATAGTGGAGACGCGTAAACCACCGGGCTAACTCGCTGAATGTGTTATAAACTGAGCGAAAGGGTTGAGGGAAAGGATAATGAAACACATGACCCAATTAAGAAGCGGGAGGTTAGAATGAGCGTGTAAACAACCAAGAGAGACGGGGTGGGGGGGGGGGGTTAGAGGGCTACTGTACCGTACGTGTGAAGAATCTAGGGAGGTTGCTTTGAAGAAAATATGGTTTATTTTTATTGTGTAATGAGCTCAGCCAGTTCATGATTAGATTCAGAAGGATTCTACTCAGTATATTAAAGATGTGTGACTATATCATGATGAAGTGCTTTTCCATTTTTTTATTCTGAATCACAGCATGTTACTACTATTATTATTACTATAATTGTTCTCCTTGTGAACACAGTGTGTAAAATATTTAAATGTTGAAGAAATGTATTCAGTAACTTTCTTTGCATACACAGTGTAGTATGAAACAGTCAGATTTAACAAATGCAATTGATTATAATTTGAAATAAAATGAAGGAGGGGTGGGAGAAAATAGAATGTATTTCAAATCTTTCATTTTGGTAAATTAGACCACAATGTCATTGGTGATTACTAATGGACTAGTAGTTTTGACTATCTTAATGATTATAATAAATGTGTCATAGTAATAGGAACAGTAGTAATAATGTTCATGGTAAGTGTAAAACTATAATAATGTTTGTTTGCCTGAATGCATGTTAGTAGTTGGTGCATGTACGGTTATTAATATTTCTTTACCTTCACTGAACATGACTGGAGAAAAGTTACAAAACATTCATATTGAAAAGAGTTCTAAGCTCCTAGTTTCTCTCTCGGACTCTTTATAGCTAAAGAGAACCGTGCCCAAAAGCCCCTTTATAGCTAAAGGAGCTTTTGGGTACGGTTCATGGTAATGAATATGACATAAATAAGTAAGCTGTGGAGTTACAGAAATATTGATTTTGAAGCAGGATATATCTGTGTATCTGTGAGTCTGGTGATTGGGATGTGGTATGTATTTTAATGATTGTTATAGTGATAATGGTCAAGGCGATGGCGATGGTGATTATATTAGTGATGACTAGGATAAAGGAGACGGTATTAGTGATTGTTATAGTGATTATGATGATGATGACGATGATGATGAGGATAATAAATATAGAAAGTAAAGAA